AGAAACGTATTCACGACTTTCCATAAACTTTAAACTGTTATAATTAGAGGAAAGCCAGGGCACATATTCAAAGTAGTTTTTAGACAAAAAGTATGCAGAAACGTATTCACGACTTTCCATAATCAGGTTCATTGAACATGAACAAATTGAACCGAGGCGTCAAGGAACACTGAGCACAGATCTTTTCTTTTATGCCCACTGTACCTTGACGCCTGGGTCCAATGGTTTGTTCATGGTCACTGAACCAGTGTATGGAATATTGCGAATATCTAATGGTTCTTATCGATGCGGTTGCAGAAAAAAGATTAAGCTAGTTGGTTGACCTAGGACTTACCATAATACGAGATATACGAAACACTAGGATAAAAATGTTTCAATTCTCTGACCCAGTTATCTGAAAAAAATGTAAGATAAAGACTTAATTTTCACGTCGGAAAGTATACATAAGGGCCCTACCAGACAGTAGGTCTCGGCGGGTGTCTACAAGACCCCTTAATGGAGCTCATAGTTAACTTTTGGATTTGTGAGAGGAACAAAATTGACTTACCTAGGGTGGAGGCGGGGGCAACTATAAGATATGGACCATCATCACCCTCTTCTATTAAATGAGCAATGAAGGATAAAGCCTGAACAGTTTTACCAAGGCCCTATAAGGAAAGAAGTGATATTGCATGACAGTCACATTTAAGTTACACAATACAGTCACTATGAAAATAGGACATGTAAACCCTGCATTTTTTGGATATCACTTAATCACTAAACTATCTTTTTTTAACCAAAAATTATCACATGTCACACAAAAATGTCACACAACACATTTGTGTCACACAACAGACATCCAATACTAAGTCATATAACACGACACAATGTAACAGATAGCGTTACAAAGTCATACTATGTCACACAACATTGTGACAAGTGTAATGTTGTTACTATCCCATTGTGTCATGATGTCACACAACATTRACTTTGCATCACATTAAAAATACCATTTCGTCAGCCAAGATRCAATTCATCTTTTTGTCATGCATCAACTTTAACCAGTGCAAACCAGTCAACTGATATGGCTTGAGTTGACAGCTAAAAATACATTAATACTGATGTCACATAACAGTCAAATTTGTGTAATAAATATGATTTTCACAGTGTAAATAATAATCTAAGCGATTATTAATAAATGTATGGATCTCCTGAAAAAATTTCGGGCTTCAACAGGAATCGAATCGATGACCTCTTTGATGCTCTGCCAACTGAGCTATGAAGCCAACTATGTTGGTGAACGGTCATTTTATTGGGTGAACCCATCCATACCAAGGAACACAGTTATGATGAACTAATGGTTCAAACTCCGAACTTCGAGATTTTTTCGGGCAATCCATACATTTCTTAATAATCGCTTAGATTATTATTTACACTGTGACGACCACATTCATCACACATTTATGCATTGCACTTTGAGCCATTACTTCATCAGAGTCAAATTTATTATGGAACTGATATGTAATGGCAAATGGATCCAGCTATTGACTCATTTTCCCCATCCTTAATGGAAKAGCTTCCCAAGGAGAAAGTTCCACTGTTTACCTTGGGTTTAAAGTAGTTGGCTGTGACATCTGAAAGAAATGGAAAATAATAATGAGTTCCAATATACAGAAAAGAATAAAGGAGACTAGTCTATTGTCACTGCTAGATTAGAAGTTGACTTATTATTTACTAATATTATATTAATATTATATTTACTATTATCATATCTATATTATTTTATTATATTATATTATATTTACTAATATTGATATTTACTAATATTTACTAATTATTTGTTAATTGACTTATTATTTACTTCTTCATTTAGTTGGGCTGAAAGAAGCATTTGAACTTCTTTTGAAATCCTTTCACAGCGTTTCATTAAATTCTGAACGTCATCTCTTTTCTTAAGTACATGGTAGGTATTCTCTAGAAACTGAAAATAATGAAAGAACAAATGAAATAGAGAGATGAGATGTAGAAAAAGAGGGAAGAAATCTGAGCAGTATAGTACCTAACCTTTTTTGATAATAGCGCTTTTGAGGATTTTAACTTTGTTTCCTGCAAAAAATAGTGAACTCAATACTCTCATTAAATAATAGCAAAGCAAATAATTGAAGTAGAATGAAGCGATGCACAGCAGCAACATAATTATATGTTCCTATTCTGAGTGCCACTGTCTTGCGATCTGTTCTAAGCCATAATGTGATATGCAATTTTATTCAGGATGCAAGAATGCTCAAGCAATGCATTGACACAAGCAACATACTGCTGATCCTCATTCCCACTCCATGTAAGTACACGTAAGCTGTCCTTTTAAAACTACAAATATTTAACCAAAAGAAAACAGCAAAGCAGTGTTACCATATCATCCCAAGATTCAAATGGTCTTAAACTAATCAACTTGTTTGCTTTTTTAACTGACAGGCCAGGTATCATTGCAAGCTCTTCAAGTGAACAGTCATCYAGGAAGGACAAGATTCTTGTCTGTTTAGAAGTGACATTCCTCTCTTGGTAGGTACTATCGTTGGTGTCAATATCTGTATAATGTAATATAAAGGAGTAGAAGAATTCATAAAGGCTGATTTRCACGGTACGRTTTGTCKCRCGCGACAAATCGTACCGTGTAAACCAGCCTTWAGAAACAAGTTCATCAATTATCATTATTTAATTAGTAATTAATCTATGAATATTTATATGTGAAGCTGGAAACAACCCAATACAAATAAAAGATATATAATATATATATCATCAATATAGCTATATCCAGAATAACCTCCTTCTAAGYACTACAACTTTCCATTATTTCCATTTCTTATAATCAAAAAAACTAGTTATCCTTATTGTTATTGCAAAACGTTCTACCTTCACTGTCTGGACCACTTTCTTTACTGTTAACATCACTGACATCACCTGTATTGTCAAGTTCAAGCAAAAAATCTCTAAATAATAGTAATCAATATAATATGAATCTATTTACTTGATAATGCATTATTGTCAAAATTTGCCCACCATTAAAATTTATAAAAATGAATGTTAAATTTGAAAAATAAAAAGTAAAAACATAAATAATTCAAAACTAAAAAGTGAGAAGACTAAATTACTGAACATAAGTTGATTTCCATTAACCAGAACAGCCAATTCAAAACCAAATACCTTTTTTCTAGATTTTTCAGTAATTATGCAAGTTTTACATAGTGCTAATGGACAAAATTAAAAAACAGATTATTCTAACTGTAAAACAATGTGTGACCGACCCACCTCCCCTACCATAACTCCTAATAACATTGTAATAATTATTTTTAGAATATTACCTTCATCATCTGATACTATTTCTATTGTCTCTGTTTGTTTTGAATTCTGCTTTGATAAATCTTTATGTGCATCTATGTGTTTTACAACAAACAATAAAAAATAAAAATAGCATAAAAATATATAAACTTGATCCCAGAGTGTTTTACACAATTTCCACACAAAGCAAGGTAAATAATTATTACCTTAAAGTGTAGTAAAAGTGTAATAGACCTCTGCAGCTTTTACGTCATGTACCGTATTCGCAATGCATTGTAGGATATATTTGGGACAAAACATGGCGGATTTCTTTTGTTTTCTCTTGAAACTGATCCCACAATGCATTGAAAATCAAGTAGTGACGTAAAAGGTTCACAAGTCTATTATAGAGTGAAACCCTGTAAAAAAGTTGCTACACTAATACACCTTAGTACACTCTAATAGCCCCTTTCGCAGTTAAGAAACAAGTTGTGCGAGGAGTGGTTTTGCACCAAAGCGAGGCAAAATTGGGCAGCAATCCAAAATTGTGTCATCTACGAGCTTCAGTTTATCATTTTGCAATGTYAGGAAAATTATTTTTTGATGGTGAAAAAAGTCATAATTTTGATATTACTTGGCACTCTTGTTCATTTGAGGGCTGCGGCATACATGTTGCTCGCTTTGGTTTTATAACTGCGAAAAGGTCTATTGCTGCATTATTTTCTTTTGTATCTATTTGACTATCACACTTTTATAATCAAATTTTGTTTCACGGGTTTAGTGATCTCACTCTAAGCTAGAGTTGTGTTGTTGTGTACTGGAATCTTTTCAAATCACAATAAYAGAGGGTATACTTCATTGTTTTGGACATTGCTTGTATTGTGTGCATTGTTCTTTGTCAACCAGTACACAACGTTACACTACAACTTAAATGCACCTCAAGTTTATGAAAAACAACACTAAAATGTAAGGATGTATTTAGTACATACAAATAAAAATTAAGGCTAAAAATGCACAGATAAAAAATAAAATACTATCAAATACACATAAAAAATAAACTACTTCTTCTACATGTAAGCCCCACCCTCCCCTCTCCCTGCCACCATTTGTTCCACCACAGAAAACCCACAAACAAAATTTTTGTGCTATGAAGGAAGCTAAAAATAAACCTACTTCTACTCGACCAAAAAGGATTTGAAAGAAAAATTCTAGCCTCGGCAAGGTGGTTCGTCAGCTCCAATGCTGCTTTTATATCACTGTTGCTTCTTGATGTAAACATCTCTTTTAGTTTTTTGAAATTCTCATTCTCTGGGTCAATAGAGTCTTTAATGTTTCCATTTGAGACAGAGCAGGAGTCATTTGGGGCCTGCTTTTCTGCTGAATTTCTTTGCTTCTTTTTAGGAGTTAAGCAGGCATCAGAATCGCTGTCTTCAATCGGTTTCACACGTTTTCGTTTTTGTTTAGTTGCTTTAACTATAGGACTTTCCTCTGTTGAACGAGAAAAAGTAGATAAATTGGAAAATCATATAATAAAGGCTATCATAACACAGTGATAGAGTCATCACAAACCTATTAGAACAAAGTTTCTGATTGGTTTACAAAACAATGGACAAACAAAATATGCTTGTCCAACAATAAGACAAAAGTTAGTCTAACAAAAGAAGTTCACTACTCAAAAAGTAGGTTTTGCTGGGCTAAGAAAACTCAATTTAGAATAATACAAATAACAGTTACCCTTTTTTAGACCAGATGTTAAGTTTTTGAAAATGCAATTTTTAATCGTTGCAGAATTTCTTAAACAACTTTCATCTCAAATTGTCATTTTTCTGACATACCTTTCATTGATTCTGAGACAATGTTGCAAGCTTCATTCAAATTTCCCCCCTCTTGTGCAGCATACTTAATCAATTCTTTGCTTGCATTGGGAAAGACTTCGTTTAAAGTTTTCAAAATATCTTTTCTCATTTCTTTCCCATCCACTTTCCCAGTCATTTCATTATTGCAGTGTTCAGTAGACTGCTTTTGAGCACTTGGTGAAGWTCTTGATGTATTTTTATAAACCTGAGTAGATTTCTTTGATTTTGATGATGAAGAATCCTCGGAGTGTTCATATATGACCGATTTCAAAAGCTCTGAGATATCTTCATCGTCGCTATCGGAAGAGCTATCTATAGTAATAGTTGGACTCGAGTTGGCAAACCCACCATCTTTAGATTCAAATACTCCATTTAACTTTTGATTGCCATTACAATCCCCCTTCAAAACAGTAGCACTGCCAACGCTGTTGCTTTTTTCGCTGAGTGGTGACTTTTTCCTTTGAAATTCATATTTTTTGAACATGGCTTTTCCCTTGGCTTGTCAGAGCAACCGGCTCGCGTAACTAAAGTATCTTGATCAMCCCAAATGACTCCAAATTTTCTGTTATAGGTTTGAGAGATACAGTCCTAAAGAATCTAAAGGCATCAGCGTTTGAATTATAAGTTAGAAAGTGGTCTTTTTGCCGGATTTCTTCTGCATAATTGCTACACTTGATCAATTCGCCATGTTGTCTTGAAATTTCGCGCCAAGGGGTTTGGATCGAGAAATACACAGGTAGCCCATAGTACAAGACAAGTATAAAACAAAATCAAGACTTTGGCCTCTTTGGCATATATTGTCTACAAGCACACAAATTTAGCATCAATTCTAGCTTTAATGTCATTACATGTAAATATACAGAATATATAAAGCACATTTCTAAAMCTAAACAGGGAGCTCTTTGTCCCACTCTTCTTGCAGGTTTCTATCAAAACTTATAGATGGYACTAGGAACCTCCAAATACTTTTTTTCTGGTTCAATAAAAGAACTCTTAATAAGTACTTTTTTCTAAATATTACTCTATGCCATAAGACTTTGAGTGCACTGCTTGTGGGCTCCCTTTGGAATATCCTAAGAAAGTCAATCATTGAAAGGTCTGCTAGCAATAACAATGTATGGTGAAATAGGACTAGCACCATGAATATAAGCAAGAGGACAGCAACTATGAACAGCACTGGGTAGTCTCCTAAGTCTGCACATGATTTAGCTGTGTATAMATTTGKGTATTTTAGCATTCTAGCTTCACTGTTSGACATCATGCATGCATCAAAAGCACTGTAAGTACAATACGCAGAAAATATCAAACCAACAGTGCAATAAACCAAGAATAGATAAAAATAWATRTAGTTGTTCTGTCCKATGCAATTATTTGTAAAGGGACAGTGGTGTGACATGAGCGTCACGCAAGTATCGCACGTGCTACAGTGATGAGTTCCTTGGTTTCTAAGACGACTGCATTTCGAGCAAAATTCCTCTTGCAAAGCTTCTKGATCGTAGTCTTCTTCGATTTCTTTACGAGTTGGTGGGTATCCTGGGGACTTTATCATTGCCGCTAAGTAGTTAAACACCATGTTGATCCATAAATAAAATGCGATTATTATCAAAGTCCATCCTTGTGCAGAGCTAAGTGGCGAAGGGACATCAGCTGGCAAAAATACCATCACAAAAAGCCAAATTTCCACGACTTGCATCRAAATTAATGGCAAAACTTGGAATTTGCCGATGCATTTTTGTATAAAGTTCTTTCTGTGGCCTTTAGGGAACATAGACTGCATTGTACTGAGAATAAAAGCGCCTTGAATGAGGCCAACACCGAGAATGATAAACAACACGACCGCCATGTTTGATTTGTTTGTCCGCGATGGTCTAGTGACTAGTTTGTTTTGATGCTAAGTCGTCCTTGGAAACCATTCAGCCATTCAAAATGGCGAATATCATCGTCTTCCTGGTTGGAGCCTTCTCTTTTGTCATCGTTTGCGGCGCTGTAGTATTTCAAATCTTACCTAGACTYTTCCCAAAGATACGCCAAAAGCTMCCTGCACAAAATGTCATCAGTTACATTCAAACWGTACCGATTCTGTTCATGTTTGCGAGTTTGGTKTTCYTGTTTCTCTACAGCTACCTTCAGTCTCACGTCGGAAAGGACGCTTACTTCACAGTCCTTGGCTGGGCTCATATCCTATGGGTAGCTTACGATGTTGCTAATGTAGTTTTCAACTATTTATGTGCAGTTTTGATCGTTCCTGGCTACCCTCAAACCCAAGAAGAATTCCAAAGAGAAAGAAGTTTCATAAAGAAATACGARATGTGTGCCAAGTGCAACAGAATTCGAAACTTCGGAACTCATCACTGTTCSTGGTGTCATAAATGCGTGAGGATGATGTGCCATCATTGTCCCTTCACGAATAATTGCGTAGGACTCAAAAACTACGTCTATTATTACAGTTTTCTTGGCTATGCTTTCGTTGGAATGATCTACGCCTGCTACCTTGGTTACTTCCCTTTTGCCAGCTGCTACAAGTACTTGGGGGCAAGCTTCATGTCAGAATTCCTAAAYCATGGACAGTTTGATGGTTTGCACCGTTATACAGACTTCAAGTCCAAGATCTCAGAGCATGTGAATGCCACAGAAATGTGCCAAGAAATGGGAGAGTACATTGTAGTCCTTGCTCCTGTAGTTGTCATAACTATCTTTATGGGGCTGCTTTTTGGTTTCCAAACTCTTCTTCTGCTSTCTGATCTCTCCATAGTGGATTTCTATGAAGTTATGGGAAGGTCAAGCTCAGTCACAGATTTCTTGCGAAGCCTTTATGTTAGTATTACAAAGAAAAAGAAAACAAGATTTTGGAAGCTTGTTTATGCACAGAAGAGTCGYTGGTGGAAGTTCTTTATCCCAAGTTTCATAGATGTTGATGTTGATAAACTTGAAACAAAGATGGACATGTGACGTCTTCTTCTCTGTGTCCTCTACCTTTTCAATGCAACCATTTTGTGTGTAAATACTTTAGGTTTCACCATTTTTGACAGTTTTATGGTAATAAAATGTCCGCTTTGTCATGATTGGCAGAAACACCAAGATTGACAGCTCGACCTTGATTGGCAACTTGACCATGATTGGTTGCTTCACCATGATTGACAACTTTAATATTTTTGAGTGCTTTACCATGTTTGGTAGTTTCACATTGAATGACAGCTTAACTGTGATTGACAGCTTCACTTCTGGAGCCATTCAAATGAAGAGTGCCATTGAGGAAAACCTCTTCAAAATCTATCAAAAGGAATTTATATTTGTTCTGGTGGATAACTTATCTTCCCTATAATAATATAATAACTTATACTTAACTCATGGTAGGTATGCTTGATGGACCTTTTATTGTCGAAAATAAAACCCTTGTGTACATTTTAGGGTCCTAAGCTGACTCCGTACCTTTAAGGGTAAATTTTCGAAGAATGTGAAAAAAAAATTGAAGAAGTGTTAATAAAGAAATACCGGTAGATTTTATTAACCTCAACAACCTATCGACATTGATTTTCTACAGTTTGTTAAACTTGAGCTTCTCTCTTGTTAAAGACGTCAAAAATGGTCGTATCTTTTAGGGTCTGGAATTGATGCTTGAATTAATTTATGCATATCTTTTAGGGTCATTTTTCAATCCGTCTGTTGAGCATACCTACCATGTTTTATAGGGGCACAATAGTGACATTAGTTTCAGAGTCATGATAATCAGAATATAAAATGGTTGCTTTGTATTGCCTGGTGTAACATTTCACAAAAGCTCATTCATAATATTTAAATAATATTTAAGCAACAGAWTATTTTTCGAATAGTAGAGTGCAAGATAGTGACACTTATTTGCATTTTGTAGTCATGTTTATTCATAATATTTAAATAAGTTATTGAAAGTAGAAATATGTAAAAAAAAATATTTCTCTTCATATTTATTTTGTAACTTGAAAATAATATACGTTTTGTATTTTGTCATATGCAGTCGGCTGAAAACTGAATCTATAATGCTTGTAACAACTTTTTTTAGATCAAACTTCAAACTTCTTTATTATTATTTTAAAAATTTGCATTAATACATGTATTCAAAAAATTTAACTTTAAACAACAATGTACAACATTTTGGCATTATTAAATTATTGCTCTATGCAAGAACA